TTTTTATTAAATGAACGCATATGTAGATAAATACATGATGTTGATTGTTGTTTATTTATTTACAATATTTATTTTTTGATGAAGTCTCTGTTTGTCCACTGGTGTCTGTGCTCAAATGTAATATTTCTGTATTAAACAGAAATGTTTATGGACAATCATGGTGTACTATATAGTGAAATGGGAGAAATCTAGAAAAAGGTTCAAAATGGAACTCATTAATACACTTATAAGTGGAGGTTCCAATTAGAACCTTTTCAAAAAGATTCAGAAATTAACCATTAAGGTTCCCCCACATCTCCAGGAGCCTCAAAAGGTGCATTTCTGAACGTTTTCTTCTTGGAGTGTGTCGTGGCAATTTTCCATTTCAATTAAAGGTATGAGACAAAAGTTCCATTTCAATTAAAGGTATGAGACAAAAGTCTTATGAATATTTATTTTCCTGCAGGAAAAGGTCTACATTCATACAGTCACTCAGGGTTGGCTGTAGACTGCAACAAAGAGGAAACACCCAAACCCAACATTTGTACTTATCAAGTGCGGATGCTTTGATCTCATCCAATCATAATGCATTTAAGGTGCCTAACTATGTCCTCCAGATGCATTTTTGCAAAGAAGCTAAAATAACATTTCCTCTCTCACACTTGCCTTGCACTCACACACACACACACACACACATACACACACTCTCTCACACACACACACACACACACTCTCTCTCTCACACACACATACACACACACACACTCTCTCACACACACACATCAAATAGATTTCCTGTTATCTCTCAGCTCATCGAAAACTCAAGCATACTGAAGCACTCAGAGACAGTCTAAAGAACACTCTTTAGTACACTGAAGCAAATAATACAGAAAATAAAATTTCCTCCACAGAGTGAGACTTTGTGCAGGCTATTGGAGCACATCTAAACTTGTTCAAAAATAATGATAATAAAAATCTTTAGTAGCCTAAATTTGACCTTATTTTGCTTTTTTAAAACACGTTAAACATGCGTATTTTTTTGCACCCCATAGATATTGTATAATAATTTACACCAAGTTTAGTGTCTTGGCATCTCATCCTTCAGTCTTTGAAACAAAACAAATTCGCCCTGTGCATTAAAAAAAAATGTCCGTGGAGCAAAACCAAAACCAAAACAATATAAATAAGGTTGATATAGAGCCATTGAACTCTTTTCTCTCAGTGTTGTATTTGCTAGATGGTCCCTATCTTCGTGGTTTCATTTCCTGTATGTTTAAAACTCTTTAACATCTTAATGCAGAAGCGCTGTTCACGTGTATCTCTATTGATTTCTATGGGAGGTCCAGCACAGCTGAGGGAGGGACATTAACCCAAGGGCGGTAGTCCTGCTCATGCATAAATACCAGATCATGAATATAAAACTGCCATTTAGATCCTCTAGCTTTCACTTTCTATGCTTTTAGATTTCTCAATCCAGATTTGATCAAAATAAGGCATGGACATCAGGTGAGTTGACAATGTCAAATAATGTAATATCTGCATGCTTGCATGAGGACTTCATAAATATCCCTCTTGATTTTATGAACTTTGCATGGAAAATATATAAATAAAAGGTGATGTAAGTAACTTTACAGATGAGATCAGGGTTACTTGCACCATGTAATGCCATCATCATCAGACGATTGAAGATCTTCAGCTTTCTCCAGTAGAGAGTTCATTGTTTAAGACAAATAATGCGAAAATACTGCTAAACGTGTAAATGTGATGTTGAAATTTAGTACAGAGTAAGCTATTTTTACATGTGGCCGTCTTGAGAAGCGAGAAAGCTTCGTAAGAGGACGTGACTGCTTTTTTACAAGTCGGAATTTAAAATTACGATATTATGGCGTGAACATTTTACATGAAATGTTGGAGTTGGAGTGGGGTATGAGTGGTTATGAAGGCATGAATGAAACTCATTTGTCTGTGTCTCGCTATGCAACAGTGTCTCCTCCGCGGCTCGGTCTCCAGCAAGACTGTACGACATTCACATCACATTATATGATTTAACTGATTTTTACGTAGAAAGGGCGACAGCGCACCGCATTAAAAGAAATGATCATTCATGTTTTCATAACCACATAACCGAAACTAAAATTAAATAATCTCAAACTATTTCTGTTTTAACCCTCAATCTGTTCCTGGGGTCTATATGACCACAATCAACTTTTACTTAGATTTTTTTTTTTTTAATGCTTCCCTTCATCTCAGCGGAATACGATTTTGTGACTTTTCTACATTTTCTGTCTATATTCACATAAAAAAACGGGGCTTGATTCTGTTTTTCTTTAGGTAAGTAAAACATTTATTTATTTATTTATTTTTTACAAATCTAGTCACATTGAAATGAATGGGACATGCAAAAAAAATTATTTTTTCATTTGTCAAAAAAAAAAAAACAATAAATCTGGCATAAATCTGAAAATGTCCACACAGAATGCAGGCCTGGTACTAGAGCACAAATGCAATATAGAAAAGACATGCTCACTCACATGCACACACAGATACACACACGTGTGACTGCAACAGAGAGCTTTTTTATAGAAATTGGCAAATAAAATCAATAAATCCTGCATAAATCTGAAAATGTCCACACAAAAACGAAGACCTGATACTAGAGCAGAAATGTAATGTGGAACGAGCATACTCACTCATGTACACGTGCGCGCACACTTTTTTTTAAATTTTACATTTAAGTAAAATAAAATTGTTTTGATTTTACTTTTTAGATTGAAAATAAATGTGCCTGCAATAAAAATTAATGCTTCCCTTCATCTCAGCGGAATACGATTTTGTGACTTTTCTACATTTTCTGTCTATATTCACATAAAAAAACGGGGCTTGATTCTGTTTTTCTTTAGGTAAGTAAAACATTTATTTATTTATTTATTTTTTACAAATCTAGTCACATTGAAATGAATGGGACATGCAAAAAAAATTATTTTTTCATTTGTCAAAAAAAAAAAAATCAATAAATCTGGCATAAATCTGAAAATGTCCACACAGAATGCAGGCCTGGTACTAGAGCACAAATGCAATATAGAAAAGACATGCTCACTCACATGCACACACAGATACACACACGTGTGACTGCAACAGAGAGCTTTTTTATAGAAATTGGCAAATAAAATCAATAAATCCTGCATAAATCTGAAAATGTCCACACAAAAACGAAGACCTGATACTAGAGCAGAAATGTAATGTGGAACGAGCATACTCACTCATGTACACGTGCGCGCACACTTTTTTTTAAATTTTACATTTAAGTAAAATAAAATTGTTTTGATTTTACTTTTTAGATTGAAAATAAATGTGCCTGCAATAAAAAAAAAATTGTGACAACTTGTGTGGCATTTCTGCAAATTTATGTGGCATTATTGCAAAAGCAGCCACTTTAAAATACCTCAAACAACAAAAACGAATTCTAACCTTTGAGACAAATACTGTTTTGAATCTATTTTATAATGTTTCAATGTATATTTACAAAATATATCTCAGAAAAGTTGTGAGAGGAGCAGTTAGCCGCTTCCAGAAAAATGAATGGATCTCTATGGGCCTCTGCTGGATATATATGATCATTACACTATTCTTTCAAATACTGTAAATACGGTAAGTTTTTCTCTAACCAGCAGATGGCAGAATTCTACACCTAACACCTAGATCAATATCCAGAAACAACTTAAATCAAATTTAGATCATAATTTAAGTGATTTTTTCATGAAAATTTAATATTTCGCATGCAAGCTAATGGTGTAGTTGAGGACCCAAAACACAGCTTTAATGTATAAATAAGAAGTAAACAAAAAAATTATATATTATTTGTAATTGTAATATATTATTACAATTACTCAATCAATTTTTGGGTCATTGATAGAGTCACCATTTGAGTGTAGGATCTGTTTTAAAACAGCTTTTTATAAACATTTTCAGTGAGGAGTAGTTATGCGGTGATGCGCAATTAAATTATTGCGGAGCAAATTACTTGTAGATAATTTTATTTTAATAATAAAAGTAATCTAATAATATGTAATATGTGACAGGCTTACATTAATTGGAAATGCCAAATACTCTACTGACAATATTTAATGCTTTTGACAATCTCTGGCTATCACGTGGCTTAATGCATTAAAACTGTGTTTTTTTAAAGGACCAAACTCAGTAAACACATTATTAATAAAGCATATAGAGTGGGGTAAAATGCCCCCCTACCTTTTTTCCCCAAAATAACCTCTAGATAAAGTCAAGATAAATTGTTATTGTAACTATGGACTTACACTGGCGATGTACCCAAGAGAAAACGGATTTCACAGCAAATTATCTCATTTTCAGCAGGAAAAAAAGTGTTTTAAAGCTTGTTGTTTCACAGAACATCACAGTTATATGTGATATGAGAACAGTAGAGAAAAAAAAGAATTAGGGAGAATCAATAAATTATGAATAATTGTGTAAATAACATGTATTCGTGTAATCAATAAAAAATGTACTGTAGTCTGACTACAAGTATTTACATTTTTAATTTAATGTAATTACAAGTACATCATTTTTGGAATCTGATTAAGTAATCCAGATTACTTGTAATCAGTTATTACCCAGCTCATATATACTGTAACATCCATACTAGCCTTTCACCTGCATAGGAAAATGGAGTGGAGGTGGATACAGAGAATAAAAAGTATAATGAATACATTTATTACAATAACTTCATGTACAAAATGCACATTCTTGTTTTGTTCTGCGGCACAGGGCACAGTTAGAGGAGCGACTCACAGAGTATGTCAAGGACACACTCAGTTACATTGAGACCGTAAGGGACTTCTGTGACCAAGAACCGACATGGACCTCTGAGAGAAAGGCAGAGCGTGATAAGTTGAGAGGCATCAGTGAAAATCAGCAGGAGAAGGAGGAGAAGAAGAAGAAGGAGGAGCTCAGCGCCGTCCTCAAAGACACATTAGAGGGTCTGAAGAAACTTGAGCCGTTCCTGGATGCAGTGGAGAAGCTAGCAGTGACCTCGAGCCGTGCACATTCTTGTTTTGTTCTGCGGCACAGGGCACAGTTAGAGGAGCGACTCACAGAGTATGTCAAGGACACACTCAGTTACATTGAGACCGTAAGGGACTTCTGTGACCAAGAACCGACATGGACCTCTGAGAGAAAGGCAGAGCGTGATAAGTTGAGAGGCATCAGTGAAAATCAGCAGGAGAAGGAGGAGAAGAAGAAGGAGGAGCTCAGCGCCGTCCTCAAAGACACATTAGAGGGTCTGAAGAAACTTTAGCCGTTCCTGGATGCAGTGGAGAAGCTAGCAGTGACCTCGAGCCGTGTCTTTAATGAACAGATCTTCCTGCTGCAGGGAGAGAGCCCTGAAAGAGTGCAGTCAGTCATCAAAGATGCCAGAAGAGATGCTCCTCTCCTCATCCACTTCAAACGAAATGCAGAAAGCTTCTTCCAGCCTCTACTCCAAAATGTGAATATCCTGGTCTTTCAGCTAAACAGCTACTACGTACTCAAAACAGAGGAACTTTGTAGCAGAATAAGACGAAAGTGAGTCCTGAAATTCCTGTTAAAAGAAAGAGTTTGCTCAAAAGTCACAATTCTGCCATCATTTAATCACCTTCATGTCAATTTAAGCTCATATGACTTTCTTTTATCCTGCTTGTTTCTCTGTAGTTTTTTTTTTGCGATGAAAAGACATGGGACCGGCATTTTTAAACATTGTGGGTTGAATTCACTATAGAGTTACGCCAATTTAACACATGCTATCTCAGCGCAAGAGCCCACGTAATTTTCACAAACCAGCTGCAATCCATCTGAACTCTTTCCCCGCCAAACACTGAATCTTCCGGGTTTCCGTGTTCTCGCTGTTATTCGTTCAGGGGGCGCTATTACGCATCTTCTGAATGAGTCTAGAATGTCCCGAATCCGATCAAAAACACAGGCGAGGAAGACGCAGAAACGAGCAATCTCGTATGTATGCCTATATGCATATGAAAAATAATGCGATCATCAACAATAAACAGCATATAAATGAAAACTGCCTAAATTTACAGAGTGAAATATCGATCCAGGAGGTGGCAAAGGTCTGTAAGCTTTTGGAGTGCTAATGGAAGTGATCTACTGCATCTATGCTTCGATAATAGTACTGAATATGATCCAGATGTAGTATTAGATAAAAACGTGATTTTCTCAGCTTTTTGCTCAAAATGTTGCTGAATTTTTCTATGAAATGTACCGTCGATAAAAAATATGCTTGAAGTTAGAATAAAACTACTGTTTTGTTTAAAAGTAGAAGCTCTCTTCTTTATTTTGATGTATTGCATGTTCAGATATTCATACAAGAAAATATTCTGGGGGGCCTTGAATTTTAGTGAAAATCATCATGTCTGGCAACTCAAAAACGCTGGTGGGGAAAGAGTTAAGCAAGTGCCAAATACATTGGAATAGCACTGTGTCATGAGTATTTCATTGACAAAGTGTGTATTTAATGGAGTCGTTCAGTACAGCAGTATGCTGCTCACAGGGTAGACTTTTCAAATCATTTGATTCAGATCGCGACTTCAAATCATGTATCGCAAATCATTTGATTTGAATCATTCAATTTGCAAAATGATTCACGATCGAAATCAAATGATTCGCGATACGTGATTTGAAGTCCCAATCTGAAATTTTGCGACGCAATGGTTTATTGATTCAGAGTTTTGAAAAGCTCAGTTTCACCCATCACTATGTGCTTTTTAAATTGATTACAAGCGATGTTGAAATTGGAAAATGAATGCCATTTTAATGGTATCTGGTTCTTAAGCATGTCTTAAGGCACCATATTGAATGAACACAAATTTTTTGAGAGCTATGATGACGGGTAAGATTTTACAACTTAAAATTTGGCCTGTTTCTTATAGCCAAAGCAGCTTCAGATTTTTACTGAATACCATAATTAGATCTACACTAAAATTTATAAAAGTTTTTTTCTCTTCATGTTTTCTCAACAGTTCAGTTGAGTGTGCAGACATCTATAAGTAAGTACTGTATATATGTTTCTCATTCAAGTTTGAGATGAAAAACGACAATAATTACACTGAAATTCTTTACAGATATAAAATGGGTCAACCTTCAGTGCAGCTCATTTTGAACGCAAGCGAGAACGCCATGAATCAAATGCTTCATCATTTGGACCAGTTGCGTGAAATCAGGTGAGACCTCAAGCTTAGCCATTTTTAAATCGAATGGTTTGGTGAAAAGTAGCAGAGAGGTGGATTGTGAACTATATGGGACCCTGGAGCACAAAACCAGTCATAAGGGTCAGTTTTTAGAAATTGAGATGTATGCATCATCTGAAAACTGAACAAATAAGCTTTCCATTGATGTATGGTTTGTTAGGATCGGACAATATTTGGCTGAAATACAACTATTTGAAAATCTGGAATCTGAGGGTGCAAAAAAATCGAAATATTGAGAAAATCATCTTTAAAGTTGTTCAGATGAAGTTCTTAGCAATGCATATTACTAATCAAACATTAAGTTTTGATATATTTACAGTAGGACATTTACAAAAATATTTTCATGGAACATGATCTTTACTTAATATCCTAATGATTTTTGGCATAAAAGAAAAATGGATAATTTTGACCCATACAATGTATTGTTGGCTAAATATACCTGTGCTACTTATGACTGCGTTTGTTCTCCAGGGTCACATATGATCAACTCGGTCTTCTTTCTCCTCGTCCAGGATGAACCAAGACACCCGGCTGGCGTTCCTCTTTCAGGAAAACGCTCAGAAATTCATTGATGTGTTTGGTGAACATCGCTCTAAAATGTGGCAGTTCCTGTCACATCTGGAGGAGACGGCTGATAAGCTGGACTCGATGAAGAAGGGGGCCAGTATATCCACTGTGGCTGGTAGTTCAGTGGGGATTCTAGGGGGTGCCTTGTCTCTTATTGGAATCGTTTTTGCCCTGTTCACTGGAGGAGCATCATTGTTTGTCACTGCGGCAGGGGCCGGTCTGGGGGGCATTAGTGCAGTCAATTCTATTGTAACAGGGATCACTGAAACAAAGGTCAACCAACACCAGGAGCGCAATGCACAAAGTTATTTAAAGAGTTACAAGGATGATATGATAAAGATTGAAGACTGTTTGAAAGAAGCGGCCAACAGTGAAGGACCTTTAGTGAAGCCTAGTGCAGTTACTAAGACCATTTTAACCAATATTGGAGAAGGGTTAAAAGAGTCCCTGAATGTGGTGGATGCAGCTGCAGCTATTAGAGTGCATAAAAGTGAAAACGTAACTGCAGCAGCAACCAAGATTGCAATGCGGGAATTAGATACGGCCAGTGACGTACCACAGGTGGCTATACAACTGTCTGGGACAAGGCAGCTGGCAACGACTGTAAAGGTTGTTAAAGGTATATCTAGCGTAGTAAATTTATTCTATAGCTATTTAATTGCCGAAGAAAGTAAAAGTCTTGCAAAAGGGAGTGAGAGTGAGGTCTCTAAGCTCATCCGCTCCAGGGCAGCTCTGTGGAAATCTGAGCTGGAGGCCTGGGAGAAAATGCACAAGTCCTTAAGCATAGGAATAAAGACGATTAGCGAGAGCAAGCATACTTTGAAGAAACAATTTCTTCCTTAGTTCCATCATGACAACTCTCTGGAGATTTTAGCATGGTAATGGATATGACAATGTTAATATCGATACGGAGCTGTGAGCATTTAAGACATACTGCTGCTGCACAAATAGCATATAAAATAACTGCTTGCTGCTGCTGTTATATGAACACGACATGCAAAGTAATTACTCTCTCGAATAACCTGCGAGAAATTCAAAGGGCGTCACCCAGTCTTGAGCTTGGCCCACCCTAAGTAAAAGTCAACCAATCACATAACCGTCGTTAAATTTCTGCATCCTTTGACAAATCACAAAAGTTGCATTCTCTTCTTATTCTTCATTAAAGTATATGTTAAATCATCAGCCACAAAAAGCTCTACACTTCATTACGAATGTTGCTTCACCTATTTTTGCTTTTTTTGTATATTCATTTATTTTATTCAGATGATTTCTTGTTTTTGTGTAATCGTATTTTTGGATATACACACATATCATAACAATGTTCAACTCTCATCACTTTGCACTTGTTCCCACAGAATTGGTGTCTTAAATGATTGGGTCCATTACATCAATATAAATAGGCTACTCAATCATTTTTTGACTGTGGAAATAAGAAAAAATAAAAGATTTGTCTGAATATGTCTCTCCCTGTATTCTATTCAAAAGTTAATTCTGTTTGCTGTTTGTACCACTGGAGTTCACACTCTTACCAAGTTGTACAAACAAAATAAAAAAGTGTGGAGTGTACAATTGCATGATTTGTTCATTTTTTTTATTATAATATGCTTATTCCACTTTACAAATGTGTATATTCCTGGTGCAAGAATTCCATTCTTTGATCACAGAATAGTGTGTTAAATAACACAAATAAAATGTACTTTTCTTCACTGGCTGTACAAATGTATACATGGATGTTTGGTCCTATAGACAAACAAAACCATTCTTCAAATAATCAAAAATGTAGACAAAACGAGCAAAGGGCGCAACTTGCAGCGCAACTGACCGAGCTTACTCAATAAATAAATAAATAATCAATGACTAACTACACAATCAATCTCTTGTTTACATCATGCTTCTCTCTCTCGTTATAATAAGTAGAAAAATTAGTTACAAAAATTAGTTCAGAGCGGATTCTCACCTCTGATTGGCCAGTTCTTTCAACAGAGATGCCTGTGATTGGCTACTCTCTACGCTGCAAAAACACACGGGAGAGTTTAAAAACACACACACACACACGCACGCACGCACGCGCGCGCGCACAGGCACACACTCTCTCTCACACACACACACACACTCTCTCACACACACACACACACACACACACACACACTCTCACACACACAGACACACACTCTCTCTCACACACAAAAAGTGGTCTAGTTTTCAGTGGAAAAGACAAAAATAATACTGTTTACAAATATGAAGAGGACTGTTGAACGTGCTAGAGCTAGAACGTGTATATACAATAAGATTTTTAGGAGTATGGTTTGACAGTAGATTAACCTGGAGAGAGCATGTAGAAAAGATGGAGGGAAGATGTAAGCGAGTAGTTAATGTGATGAGGGGTATTTCTGGCCAGGAATGGGGAGCAGATAGATTGGCTTTAAAAACTATATATATATCCATGATAAGAGCTATAATAGATTATGGTTGTTTAGTATATGGATCTGCAAATAAATCTAATTTAATTAAATTTTTAGGAGTAAAGGATATATCATGGGTAAAGATCAGGGATGGGCTGGTGACTGAATCCCAGTCAAGTCCGGAAGCTTGGATTGGATAGGAGGGATGATTTTAATCTTGCATTCCATTGTAAAATTTGGTATGTTTAAATGATGGGAATAACACAAGGGTAAATGTGGCAACAGGTAAAGAGTCTGTGCTTGATTTAACAATGTGTCTGACGCAGTTGCAGGGAGTGCTGAATGGGAAATAATGAGACAAGACACTATTGGGAGTGATCACTAGAGCTATAATAGATTATGGTTGTTTAGTATATGGATCTGAAAATAAATCTAATTTAATTAAATTGGATAGAATTCAGTCTCAAGCTCTAAGAATTAGTTGTGGAGCGTTTCTAACTTCTCCAGTTTCAGCTCTTCGAGTAGAGATGGGAGAAATGCCATTACAGATAAGAAGACAACAGTTAATAGTATCCTATTGGGCAAATTTAAGAGGTCAGAGTGAAAATCACCCTACAAAGAAAGTGTTAAGACCTAGTTGGGAACACGAGAAAAAAGAGTGTAATAGGCAGTATTTGGGAAGAACTGGGTTGAACAAGAAGGTATAAGTGTTGTTTTAGTTTGTTTGTTTTGGGTGTTTGTGTGTGGGTTGGTAGGTTAATCAGGAGATTGTAGACAGAGTGTCAATGGTCCATTTGAGAGATAGGTGGCGGTAATGCACTTATAAGTCTGCGATCCGCCGTAAAGAAGAAGAAGAAGAAGAAGAAGCTCGATTAATGGCACGTCATTACGTCACCACGTGACGCCATCCGACGTCCCCTCCGGAATCTCACGCAGAAACATAATTCATGTTCGCCATCATACAGTTTTGGGGGTTTCATTTTTAATTTAACGTTACTGAAAGTTGCCATACGTATATACAGGCCTATATATATATATATGACTATTTTTAAGGTTTCAAATAAGTTTTGGGAGAATAAATTGTCAAAAAGTGGGTGAAATAATGTTGCATTGTCATTCAGTGAAGCACTTACAGTAATGTAAAATCTCACGTAAGTAATATTTGGGGTAAAATGAATCATAACGTTTATATTTATCACAATATGCGCGCAAATATGAAATATTATCGCCGATCTGTGAGACCGCTCTTCTTCTGCGAGTGTGTGTGAGACGTCTCGAGCGTCAGGCGCCTCCTAGCGGAGCGGAGGACAACACCACCAGCGCCAGACACACTTATCTTCATATTATAGTTTACTCAAATAAAATTAATGGTAGACAAATGTACTTATACATTATAATTATAATTTATATAATAATATATAACAAATTTTAACTTTATACTTTATCCAATATATTTACTCAAACTTTATAAATATGTATCTTAAAAAATTGCAGTATTCCTGTTGTGTAAAATGCTTTGAATTCATTAATAAATGTTAGGAATTCTGAGAATAATTCATAAACCAATATAAGGTATATGCATTATTTCTGAATACATTTTATTTTATTTATCATTATGGAGGAATTGAAGACTTTCACTCTTAAAAACAAACACTTTAAGAACATTATAGGATTCATGTGGTGTATATTACAGTTTATATAATTATGTTTTATATATATATTTACAGATGTGACCCTGCAGCACAAAAGCAGTGTTGAGTCGCTGGGGGATATTTGTAGCAATAGCCAACAATACATTGTATGGGTCACAATTATACATTTCTCTTTTATGCCAAAAATCATTAGGATATTAAGTAAAGATCATGTTCCATGAAGATATTTTGTAAATGTCCTACCGTAAATATATCAAAACTTAATGTTTGATTAGTAATATGCATTGCTAAGAACTTCATTTGAACAACTTTAAAGATGATTTTCTCAATATTTAGATTTTTTTGCACCCTCAGATTCCAGATTTTCAAATATTGTCCGATCCTAACATATCTAAATTTTAAAAAATTGATCCTTGTGACTTGTATTGTGGTCCAGGGTCATATATATATATATATATATATATATATATATATATAATAAAAATGTAATCTAATAATTGCTACTACACTTAGCTCCAGATGTGATTTTAAGGGTTTTCCTCTGCGCAGATCTGCGTTCTTCGTCTTCTGCTCGGAGTACCGGCCGACGGTGAAGAGCGAGACCCCAGGTCTGTCCATCGGTGAGACCGCCAAGAAGCTGGGAGAGATGTGGTCGAAGCAGAGCATCGCAGACCGCGTGCCGTTCGAGCAGAAAGCCCTCAAACTGCGTGAGAAATACGAGAAGGTGAGCCGCGGATTCACAATCATGTTTATTTAATGTTGTGGGCGTGGTCTGAGTGCTCTGTGATTGGCAGGAGGTGACGGCGTACCGCGCAGGGGGCGGAGCCTCTAAGAAGGGGCCGGGCAGACCGACGGGCTCGACTAAAAAAGCCCAGGCTGACGATGATGATGACGACGACGATGATGATGAAGAGGAGGACGAGGAAGATGAGGAGGAGGAGGATGATGATGATGAGTAGAGTGTGTTTGTGTGTGATGCAGCTTCACTGATGTGAGACGGGCGAAGGGTTTTCTTCAGTTTTCTTTATGGACATGTTTAACGACTCCAGCAATAACGCAAGTGTTCTGTTCTGTTGTTTGTTTGGGTATTTTTTTTTTTTTTTTAGATTTCTTCTTATTTTTGTACACGTTTAGCTGTTGCTTCAATAAAGTGTAGAGGTGCTTTTTTTATAATAAATTTTTAAAAGTTCAGATATTGTGCATTTGCTGTGGTCTTTCTGATTTAACTGAACGTTTGATGGTTTTACTGTATATTACAAGAGGAAATAAATTGCATTTCAAAAATAATTTGGCCTCCATCCAAGAGTTTTCAACAGAAATGCATTATTCTTCAGGCTGTCTGACAGTTTCTACCTAATCTGATGATCTGTGACATTTTATATAGTAATACAAGTGTGTGTGTATATATATATTAGGGCTGCCAGTCGATTACAAATTTTAATCCAATTAATCGCAAACTAAATCTGGCTGTGAAAATACCCCCAAAAGTTCATTTAAAGCTATTGTGTTAAATGTTTAGGCTACAGCGGCTTAACATAAACTATGGAACATAAAAGAAGATATTTTGAGAAACATCTCAGTATTTTTTGTTCATGCAGTGAATAGTGACCAAAACTGCTTTGAAACGAGGGTGAGTAAATGACAGAATTTACTTATTTCTGGTGAACTGACCCTTTAATCCCTTTAATTATACTGTTTTTTAATAAATGAAATGATACGCTCAAAAAGAAACATTAATAGTTATATAATATGAATATGAAAATGTTATGATTTGACAAACTGTTGAACACCCATCATCTTACGGAAAATGACTAGAATTTGTTTTATATATATATATACACACACACAGTATATATATATATATATATAAAGATTGCAGTGTTCCTGTTTTGTAACACGTTCTAAAAATTATTTATTATGAATTTAGAATAACTGATAATGGCCCGGATATTATATCTACCACGATATATCAATATATAAAGTATATGCGTAATGTTTCCGAATGCATTTTATTTCATGTGGAATCTGATCATTTAAGGATAGAATCTAAGACTTAAACCCTTTTAAAAGTCCATTACAGGATTCATGGGGTTCATATTATAATTATTCATTGATGGTCCCATAAAGAACATTAACGTCCATGGAATCTTTCCATTCCACAACATGTCCTTTACAGTGAAAAAAGCTTCTTTAGAAGAAAATAATGATTGTTTTAAGAACTTACACACACATATATATACACATATATTGATGATCGATAAACAGTCGTGAGCCGCCGCAGTGACATTGTGTTTATTCTCATTATATCCTCACATCAAGCGGTACAGGTTTGTCGTCCAGCACAGGAACAAAACTAAATAAATACAAACGTACACCTTCATAAGAGTGAAGCTCTGTAACATCACGTGCAAAACACACACTTTCACTCACACACACATTACAGGTTTGTGTACTGATGCAATGATTCTAGTGTTTATACTGCCATTCAAACACACATTTACATTATATATATATATATATAGAGCTCAAAGAGTGTGACTTCAGAGTTATTGCCCATATCAGATGTGACCTGACGAAATCTGTGATAATACTATCAATAATAACACTGATTTAATCATTAGATTCAGAATAACAGCGTGTCTCAACCTCATGAATCCTGCTCAGATTATCCTGCTTTTTTTTTACCATTACGTGACAATATTTTCATGCCAGTTAAACCGATTATATATATATAAAATAATGAATAAATAATCAGTTATATGCATTTCATTTGTTCTCTACAAATATACTTTACAACTGACAATAAAAAACAAAAATAATGACTGCGCAAAAATTATTGCACATGAATTATCTTAAAAAAGTCAAGCATAATTGGAGTTTTGGGGTGAAATATGAGCTGGAGATGCTCTTCTAAACAGGTTTCATGAGATTCACCAAACCAGGTGCGACGCATACTTACAGCCAATCAGAACACAGGTGAAGCCACGTGGGCGGAGCTACACAGCAAAACCAAACATCTTGTGGTGTGTCGCTTGTGTTCACGGCTATTCAGAACAAAACCTCAGTGACCATGAAGGAGATGTGATGCATGGGCTGCAGCGTCGCACCTGATTCAGACACGCGTGACGGAGAACAGATGGCACAAAACACACGCTCACATAACGAAATCTGCTGTCCTCCAGAACAGATGCGTGTCTTCAGCTACCAGCCCTGAACAAAATCATGACAAAAAGAAGAAACTCTCCGCTACGCTTCTAAACACTTATGGAAGCTTGTGTCCACCATGGAATAAAACATAAAAATGGTCACTGCAAGTTTTACATCACAGTTCTGAGAAAAAGTAAGTCAGAATTGTGATGCAAAATGAGATATAAACTCGCAATTGTGAGGAAAAAAGTCGCAATTATTCTTTTTTTAAATTACATGGCAAAAAAAAAAAAGAACTGAATTAATTGAGATTTAAACTCAAAATTCCAAGAAAAAAGTCAGAATTCCCCAAAAAAGTCAGAATTGTGAGATTAAAAACTCAAAATTCCAAGAGAAGAGTCAGAATTCCAAAAAAAAAAGTCAGAATTGTGAGATTAAAAACTCAAAATTCCAAGAGAAAAGTCAGAATTCCAAAAAAAAATGTCAGAATTGTGAGATTAAAAACTAAAAATTCCAAGAGAAAAGTCAGAATTCCAAAAAAAAAGTCAGAATTGTGAGATTAAAAACTCAAAATTCCAAGAGAAAAGTCAGAATTCCAAGAAAAAAAAAATTGGAATTGCGAGATGTAAACTCAAACTTCCCAGAAAAAGTCAGTACTGCAAGATATAAACTTAAAATAAAATAAAAAAAGTCAGAATCCCGAGACAAACTCAGAGTTCAGAGAAAAAGTTTGGAATTTTGAGATATAAACTCTGAATTAACCAAAGCAAAAAGACCTCTAACACTAGCTTGCTCTATTCTTTTTCTATTCTATGTTTTCTTTTTATTTACTATATGATTAAAAAAACCTTGCTATGTGTGCTGCGTTAAGCTAACTGAGACTGGTTATAGCACTTGCTCTTTTGTTGGTTTTGATTGCTTCTATCGTCCTCGTTTGTAAGTCGCTTTGGATAAAAGCGTCTGCTAAATGTAAATGAATTGCGAAAAGAAAGTCATAATTCTGCAAAAAAAAAAAAAATAAAAATTGCAACATAAATAGTTTAAACTACTTTTAAAAATGTTGTTGCAAAAACAAGAAAACAAATGACTTGTGAAAAGTAAACTCAAAATTCAAAGAAAAAAGTCAGAATTGCAAAACATTCACTTAGAATTCTGCAAAATTGCGAAGAATTGTGAGATGTAAACTTGCAGTTACGGGTTTATAACTTGCTAGTGCTAGATTTAAACTTGCAATTGTGAGAGAAGTCATAATAGTGAGATAAAAAGTCAATACATTTTTTTATTCCCTGTTGGAAATAGCTTCCATAGTCACTGGTCTGGCCGCGAGCAGCGGTCGACATACGGCACGGCTTTCAAACGAAGGCCGAGCGCGCTGAAGAACACGGTCCATCAACCACTAAAACAACAAGCGCTGCTACACTTCAGTCTGTTAGACGCTATAAATGTTCATCAGCTACAATCAATCCATCAGTTTAACATTAAACATAGTTTCTCAAACCACATGTGCTTACAAACATCACGGCACTAACGACTAACCACTAACACTACAGTAGTAACTAGCATTATATTCTATGTGGATACAGTCGATCACTCACACAATAACCAGCGCACTCCGGTAACACAATCTTGGCATTCGTGGAAATACCACTTATTTCAAAAATAAGACTTCATATGCTGCTTTAGGAAACATCTACCATCAGGCTGAGAAAGCAAAACCCAGTTTAACTAGCTTATGATGGCTGCACATTGCTGGTCCTCCGCTAGTCTAGATGGTTTATCAGTTGGACTCTTAGCTTAAGTTGATCTGGTTGACCATCTTGGTTAAGCGGGTTTTATTCTAATCATGTTCCAAAATACGTCAAGTCGACATGTGTGTGCTCTATGTTCAATATCCTTATTGCATTTTCATATTCCACTGAAATTGTGAACAATAAGTAGTTCTGAAACAAGCAAACAGCTTAGTATTTTGGGTAACACTACAATATTCCATGAACTAACGATAATTCGTAAGCACTTATTAATCTTAGGACATGTTCATTTCAACATTCACTAATACAAAGTTGCATCTGTTAATATTATTTAATGAACCTGAGCCAACATGAACTAACAAGGAACAGTTGTAATTTTATAAACAAAGATTAATAAAGACTGTAAAAAATGTATTGCTCATTGTTAGTTAATGTTAGTTAACTAATTGTAAAGTGTTACCCTATTTTTGTCTTGTTTTCCATTATAAATTAAAAAAAATTTTTTTATTAAGATATATTTACTATATTGTACTATATATAATATTATATTTACTATGCATTTTGAAACAAAATGTCTTATTTAATGAAAAAAATGATTTAAAAATGAAAATGAGAATAAAATCTGTCAGTGGGGTCAGAAAAATAAACTTAATTCAAAGTGAAATATTTTTCGATTCCATTGACAGATATTTTTTATTGTTTTAAGCATAAACTCACTTCATTTTGATTACATTTTTTTCAGAAAACAAGACTTTAAGTATATTTTTAAGCAATTAATGCATCTTGATTTAAGAATATTTAGATATTTGTACTGGAAACAAGACAAAAACACTGAGAAAAACGTAACTTTTGCAACGCAGGAGCAACTTTTCTGTTCTGAGCCAAAGCCAAAATGCATCAGCAAGCAATAAAATCAATCGGAACATCATCTTGTTGTTCGCTGCTTAGCGAGGAGAGAAAAGATTGAACATGTGCGTCAAACAGAGAGCAGCGACGCAATCAAACACACATCTGGAGATCCAGAACTTTCCTATAAGCATGCTGGGATAGAGCTGGACTAAGTGAGGTTCATCAGAAGAGTGACGCACTAGTTCCCTTATGAAGTACAAATAAATTATCTGAAACACGAGGAAAACAATATAAACAGACTCATGATTCACCGTAAACCACGAGTCCAGGAGCGCAAACACTCACAACACACTGAGCACTTGAACTGCTTCTCCATTCAGACGGGACTCCGTAATGTCTATAATCCTCCTCAACATCATCATAATCCTCCGAGTCACTGATCGACAG